CCAAGGAGACTACGAGTCCGCCACCCCTTCGACTACCATCTTGTCAGAGACGGGCACCTCCTTGGGCCCGGTGTAATCTTTCTGCTTGACGAGCCACCACGCGGTCACAAACAGGGTCAGCCCGCCGGTCATCAGGCTGGCGTAGTTCATAGTCTGCGCGTCGGTGGGCAAAGCGTACGGAAAGCAGAAGATGACGACGAAGGCGATGATGTAGACGCAGCTCAGGGCGTTGACGATGTACCCGAGCAGGCCGGGCATCCAGAAGTGGCCGGGGGCGAAGGAGGCGCGGCGGGTGAGCAGGTGCGGGAAAATGGCGGCGAAGTAAGAGAGGCTGGAGAGCTGGACGAAGCAGCCGACGAAGGCGTTGAAGGCGGTCGTGGAGCCGACGTAGATGCACGCCAGAATGGTGACCATACCGCCGCAGACGAGGGTCGCGTTGAAGGGATTGTGCATGCGCGTGTTAATGTGGCCGAGCCAACTGTGGAAGGGCGTCGCTTGGTCGCGGGAGATGGTCCAGAGGGTGCGTCCGGCCGTGATGTAGCACCCTGCGCAGGTGATGACCGTCGGTAAGAAGGCGACGATCAGGAGGCCAAGCGCCCCACCGCGGGTGCCGGTTGCTTGGTAGTAGATCTCGGCCAGTGGGAAGCCGTAGACGCTGTTGAGTACGGCGGAGAGGTCGGTGATGCTGTAGAAGAGCGCGATCATGTAGACGATGCCGGTGAGAAAGCCGACGGTCATTTGCGCGAGGACGGCTTTCGGGATGTTGCGGCTTGGTCTGGAAGTTGAGGTTAGGGTTGGGACTGTTGCATGGAGGGAAGCACTAGGCACGGCTTACTGGGGGATCTCCTCGGCGAGGTGAGATGAGCAGTCCGGTGTGCCAACACTGTATGCGCCGTTGAGCATGCCAGCTACGAAGACAAAGCCTTGGCTGGAGTAGCCTGTGTCGTTTTGCCAGGAGCTCCAAACCTCCTTGCTGGCTGCGTAGCCGGTGCCATTGATGTGAGGCATCACGGCACAGACAACGATGGTGATGAATACACCGGCAAGGATGAAGAACAGGCCGAGATTGCCGATGTGAGGAAGCCACCGGTTCATGAAGAGGACAATACAACAGCACATCCAGGTGCAGATGATGAAGCTCACGAAGATATGCCAGGACTGAGGCACAAAGCCAGGATGCATGAGGGCGTACATCGACACTGTTTGCTGTCCGAGGATAGCTGACATCGAGGCTGCGCCCAGGATCCATGCCAGCGAGTTCCAGAATCCGGCAAAGAACCCGCACACCCGTCCGTATCTGCCCGCAGTGATGGTAGCCCAGTGGTATACTGGGGTAGACGTTAGAGCGAAGGATATCCCAGAAGAGTCCAGATCTACCTACCTCCACTGGCAGATGGCATTCCAGATGCCAGTTCTGCAATCGAGGCTGCGACTAGCCAGTAGCATACAGACACGGCGATACTAGGATCATGTTAGTACTCTTTATCCGTGCCGGATGGAAGACAAGGGCCGTACAATTCATATATCACACCGGACGGGCCTCCATTGCTCAAGGCCGTTGTCTGGATACCGTCAGTCCAATCTCCTAGCTCTGACCGAAGACTAATCGTAGCATACCACACTGCCACCCTGGGCAATCCATGTGTTTCCGGTCGTGACGGCAACGGCACAGATACTCAACAGACTGAAATTGCGGTCGACTTCCTGACGGTGACCCGAAGCATTGACTACCTCCACAGATGATGCATCCTCCCCTGCATCGATGGGGTCTAACTTCTCTGCTACCTTCTCTGTCGTCATCTCGGGGTCGGACTCGGCGGGGATAATGATATGGCTCGAGGAAGGTGGAACAACGACGAATGGGAGCAAGGGTTGGTCAGGATCTTTAATAGGACGGCGGCTGCTAGGGGAAGTACTATGAAGGCTCTTGTTATAAGTCACTAATCTGTGTGGCCTCTGTGTGAATGACAAATGATGGGGTGGATGGTCGAGGTCAGGGCTGGCCGAATAATCACAGGTTGAAAACAATCATTGTTTCTTTTCCCTAGTGATGTGTGACGTAGCGGTAAGAGAGCACAATGACACAAGGAGAAGAGCCAGAGGGCACCGTGGGCGAGGACATCAGTTTATAGAGGCGAGAGAGGGAGGAATGAATGAGTTGTACCTAGAGGACGGTACCTAGTACCTACTCCCTCCGTATACTCCAAGTGATCAGAGCTGGTGGGGCCAACACAGCGTGGGAAGGGCCGTTATCGCCCAATCACGGGACATTCTGGCTGATGTAAGGCTCCGATTGGCGGAGAAGCAGGAAAGGCGTGAAGAACGACTAGGCCCAAAGGGGGAGCTTCAGCAGATACCGTGAACGTGACCGGACCTACACTCTTTGGGAGTCTTTGCCCACTTCTCCCTTCTGCCTTCATCTTGCGAGGTTGGTTTTAGGTATGTGTCCTCCCTGTCTATCATCGGGAACTAGACGGACGGGGCTTTGGTCTGCATGGTTTTCAAAATCTTTACATGCTTGTTTTGCTCCACATATGGGTTCTATTGACTCATCAGAACCCATTCCTCATTCCTCAATCCGGGGAAGCTGGGGAAGCTAACGACCTTCAACGTGCTGGATGAACCTACCTACGTAGTACCTCGCAGGACAGAATGGATGACTCGGGTACAGACAGCTTGACCGACATTGATCTTGTGCTGATAAGACATTGTTGGAGGTAGAGATAAATTGGGTCATGTATGGGACGTGTTGAGAGAGAGAGAGAGAGAGAGAGAGAAAGAGAAGTCGAGCCTAGAGGCAGCGAAGCACGCACCGATGTATGTATACTTCCTTCGGCTTATCATCTTTTAAAAGCCTCAGCACTTTGGTAGGCAAGCATGAATCTCCTACATCAAACCGCAATCATGAATGAATTGCACTAGCATACAGCTACACATTGGCTACTGATGCCTTATCAAATGGGCAGCCACCGCCATCGGATGCCAAGAAGCCGGGGTTTTCCCAGAGCCGAGGCCGATTGATTACCTAGTACGGAGTACTTGATTATCCTTACTCCGTGTTTCCGACCTTCCTTCAGCCTTCTATTATCAATCCCCATTATTCACTGATAAGTCAGAGCCGAATTTCCTCTCCCCATCCATTTACCTGAGATATAGGCACGGACTTATGCCTGTGTATCACCTAGTGCCGGATTCCTGGATTCAAGGTCCTGTTGAGTCTACCTGCACCCCTCCAATACCTAGCTCCCGAGCAACAGTGTTCAATTGAGCAATTGACTCAGCCTTCTGAAAGGAGAGAGAATTGGTATGCTGATACAAAGTATTTACAGTAGTGCCATCACTTACTGCCTGCTCCACTCACTTCGGGACTCTTGAGTCTTCGAACGATGGATTCGACTAGTGTTTCTTTTCCAAATACCTGCCCCATTTCTAATCCCTGCAAGGCCGGGTTCTAGCGGCAAAATCTCACCCTTGGGCCGACAGGTTGGCTCCAATGGCACCACTGGTGTCGCATGCCTTACTTAAGAAGCCATTATATTCTGTCACACTTGACATTTTGCAAGACTCCCAGAAAGATACAAACAAGAGACGCAAACGAGCACTTTAACGCAGACACGGCTCGAGCGTGTGGCCGCCATAGTCCTCCGTGTGTCCTAGCAAATGAGCACCGAGACCGAACAAACCTCCTGTTCCAGAACACGGACCATCATGCTTCCAGGCCGTGGATTGGTGAAACGAGTTCAATGGGGATTCGTTCGCCAGCCCACCAACGAGGAGTCAAGATCGAGATGGCACGAGCTTAGCGGCGGATTCTCGAAGCTAAACGTGCAGGTGTAGACTATTTCCGGACCGTCATACATCCCTGCTAGTTCACCTCAGTAGGCGAGAGAAATTTTCCTTATTTTCGCCATCTCTGACTGATTCAGCACACACGAGGTGCAAGCACTGAAGTCACTTGCGGATCTTCAGAGTACGTTCCGACTACCCTACGATCGCAATAATGAACCCTTCCCCATTCACCTACTCGCGATTCGAGGCATCGTAGTCCGATCAGGTGGGGGAGTCTTTGAATCGGATGAACGGATTGAACTGGCTCCAGCTCGATTAACTTTTTGGTAACAAATGTATTGACTAGTTCTAACAATGTTACATGCACCCTTGGGAAGCAGAGCGAGGAGCTCCACCTTCAACAGTGATGTCGCTTAACTAAGGGCATACCGGTACTTACGCACATGCATGCAGCAGGGGTGCACCTTAGTGTCGTTCATAGTAATGAACGGTGGAAGCCACGCCCCATTTCTGTATGTTGTCTCGGGAGACAATTCCCATTCCCCCTATATTGCGCCAGACGCTGCTGGGTTTGGAATTAATCAACTGGCCTTCACCTTAGATACTCACGGGTTCGAGGAGAAATGTCTCCACTGGCTGAGTGGCCATATTAGGAATACTTCGCTTGAGTGAAGGATCGACTTGAACTGGGGCATTGCGCCACCCAGGTGCAAATCCCCCTGCCAGCTGGGGACGATTCTTCTCGACGGTAACGTGCGATAACGCTAAGTTTTTCGCTGGCTGGTGCTTAAGTGCTCTGGTCTAGGACCAACTTTATGCCAGATCTTTCGCATATAAGACCCAAAATGGGAGAATCTGGCTCCAGCGAAGAGAGTTCGACTTCGACCGAGTCCAGCTGGTGCCGCATGAATTGATTCAAATGGCTTCCGACCAAGTGGAGATTGGAATACAAATTAAGTTGCAACTAGCCGGCATTAAGGGACCCACCTCCCCAAAGTCAAAGAAAGTGCGGTCCATCCATTGACTGAGTACAATTTGTACACATTGAGTACGTGTGCATCTGCAAAGGTGCATTCCTGGTGGGACGACGGTGCAGTGGGTGGAGTGAGGGCTGATCTTTTCCGCTCAAAGTGGCCCCTCTCCCGGTCTCCCCATACATGATCCAGGTAGGCGTAGCAAGTTACTCACAAGTCTACTCTGGATCACGGATTCTTCGTGGCTCCGATGACGATGAAGCTGGTAAAGTAAGCAGCCAACCGCGGTGCGGTGTCTGTACCTGAAATGCACCCTTGGCTCATCCTTGCATACATTTCGCTGGTCATTCAATCACCGACCCCCGGCTGATTGAACCGGCTTAGCCTGAAGATCATGCCTGTCGTTCGCCCACTTCTTCCTCTTGATTACTATCTTCTCAGTCCATGATCTCTTTACGCACGCAGTCATCAAGCTAGCCGGGATCATACATCCTGGTTCGCCGTTTTGATTGCTTGACCAAGTGTGGACGTCTTTCTCCCCTGGCCGGCGTGCCGGTACCCAACCTTATCTTAGCAAAGATGTGAGTGCAACTCACTTATATTACCCTGAGCCTTGTCCGGTGTTGGTCCCTTGCAGGAAAGGATCTCGATTGACCGGTCACCTCGTGGCTCTCCAGGTTGCACTCCAGCACGATGTCCAGTCTAAGCCCCGCTTTCGCACGCAATTTTGCGCGGGAGACATGGACGCTCTATGGTGTCGGGGTGCTGGGTGCGGTACTGAGATTGTGAGTAGTAGCCTCTTATTTGTTGCATTTTGGAAGACATGTCTTGTCTTCGTCTTCAAGTGCGGTGCTGACCATGGCCTCTTGGTGGAGTGTAGCATTGCACGAATACGTCGGTTGGGGGTCACCAATCTCCAGACGGACGATTATCTGATGATGTTCGCTGTCGTCTGGTACACGCTTCTTTGTGTTGCTCTCAATCAGGTCGCCTCAGGCGGGGGTTCCAATCTGATGAGCGAAGATGACATCAAATCATTAACCCCCACCATCAAAGCTGATCGCATCCGTGGAAGTAAATGGGTTTTTGTGTCGGAGCACTGCTTCCTCCTTGCCATCTGGGCGATGAAGGCCTGCATGCTGGTGATTTATGCTCGCATCACGTACGATCATCAATGACTTGTGACTATGCTGGATGCTGACTCTTGGGACTGAAATAGGGAGGGATTGCGCCAGAGAAAATGGGTCAATTACCTCTCCATATACGTTGCTCTTGGATTCGTGGCAACCGAACTGTCCCTGTTCCTCATCTGTCGGCCTATCCACAATTACTGGGCTGTGCCGACTCCTTACGGCAAGTCATCTTCTGCAAAGATAGCTTGTACGCCTCTTGCTGACTCTGCGATAGAGCAATGTTCGACATATCAGTACTATGAGATTGTACAAGGCGTTATCTCCATCTCCGCAGATGTGTTCATGCTTCTCATTGGGATCCCCCTCTTGGTCCAAGTGCGCGTCCCTTTGAAACAAAAGCTGATCCTCATGCTCTTATTTGGCATGGGTATCTTTGTCATCGTCGCGGCCCTCCTGAACAAACTCTATTGTTTGGTACCATCGCTCATCTCTTACGTTTACATGAACTGGTATTTTCGTGAAGCAACCGTCGCTATTCTGGTCACCAACCTACCATTGGTGTGGTCTCTCCTCCGTGATGTGTTCCCTGCCCTCAAGAGCTGGACTGGAGGGTCCCACCGAGGGACGGACCGCTATCGAACAGGTCCATACGCGCCGAAAGGGTCTGCGTACCAACACTACGGGCCTCACAGTCAGCTGCGGTCCGGAGACTTCAGCATGCGCACCTATAACCAGAGCACTGTTGTGGCTCCCAGCAAGGCTGTGTCGGATGTCAGCACGGAACAGGTTGATGATCGCGAGCCCAGTGACGACGGTTCAGAACGAGCCCTCCGCATTCGACAGGACGTCACAGTCACCGTGGAGCGGGAAACACGACCGCCCGAGTATTGGGATTCTCGGGGCGCGGGGGCAACCCAACATCCAGAGCCTTAAGTGGCTCAATCTTCTATCTACACTCACTTGACTTCCTTCTTCTGTCGTTGATGATCTACAAATTCTTCCCAGTATCTCATAACCCCTCCACCTTCGTTCCACTCTCTCCACACCTTCCTTGACTTCTTTCCCATCTGTGCTTAATACTGATTACACATATGGCATGATCTGCCCGCGACGCCTGATTGGCAACCGATTTTTGTATATATAGGTAAAAATTGCTCGGCACCCCATCGTTGATCAGCATGATGGGTGAGTGGGGGTTTCGTCCCGCAGCCGAGTGATGATGACGAGCATTGGTCTGGGCGACCAGGTATACCACGGATAGACAAAATACGAACGCATCCTAATGGATAGAGATAGCACTAGGACCATGGGTACTCATGTAGATACGAAGGCTAATGTTTAGTTCAGCTATTCCAGTTGAATATGGATGGGCAACACATGCTGGGTAGAATCATGTAAGTGACCCGATCATTTCTTCCACTTTTCTGATGGGACATGAGTCACATGACAGAGTGGGATGAGACGGGTTAAACAAAAGGTTGTTGGCAATACAGACAGTGCGGCCCGGGGCCGCCACGGGCCAAGACAGACCCCGTCTTGTATCTACTGGATAGTGTAGGTTACGGGGTACACAAGTGACAAAGTCACAAAAGTAGCAAGTGGTTTTGTCGATGGAGTCTTGAAGTACTCCGTACCGTCAACAGCTGAACAGGTTACGGGAAACCCCGGGCCCGGGAAAATACCTTTCTCGGTACTCGTCACCCGATGGGGCAACATCCACGGGCTGCCAGCAGTGGGCGATACAGACATAGATACAGTACTCCGTAGTAACTTACTGGTGTTTAATCATTTAGATTAATATTCTTCGCCAGCCAAGAAGAAGGCAGATGTGCGTGTGCTGCTCAATAATAAAATCGGGGCAGAGTTTTCCCCTCGCAAAAGGAGGGGGGGGAAGGGAAAAAAAAAAGAATAGAAAACAAAGAAAACAAAGACGAAAAGGAAAGAAACAAGAAAAATTAGTGAGGAGTTCCAGGCCAGCCCCAGGCACCAGGGGCAAGAGCCAGTCAGCATTTTGACTTTGGTTCATCCCACCCATTCATTGCAGTGCCTGTCTTTCCAGCCTTATCCAGTTTTCCAGATGGCCATCAACTGTAATTAGCAGCAAGAAACAAGACCTCGCTCTCATATCCGCCACAGCCTTCAGTTCCATGGACCACACACTACACACATACACACACTCACTCTCTCAGTCACTCACTCTCCCTCTCTCCCTCTCCACTCGGCAACAACCGCTTTGGGCAAAGATCCTTTTCGATTTTCGGCCGATGTCGACCATCACTTTCAATCGAACCACGGACCACTACGTGTAAGTTGGTTGTGAATGGTAGACTCAGAGTGCACGCGACACTTCCGCTTACAGCAATACTCGAGTACAACCTTGAATCATTATCACCTGGACGGCCAACCAGGACAAGCCCTCCCCCAGGAATCCACTTCCACTCACAATACCTGAACTTGAGAACCCCAGTAAGCCAGCTCATCTGGAAGTGGATATGCATAATCTAGGAGGGGAGTTTGCCACCTCCTATCATTCCCAGTATGCCTCCCTCGTTCGACTGTAGAGTTCTCAGCGGCTTCAGAAACCATACATTTGGCATGCGCACAAAACAAAAGACCCTTCCCCATTCAAAGGCGTATCTTCGGGCCTATGATGGACGGGGGATTCTCGATCGATTCATACTTTCGGAGGTACGGATGGTCAATTCAATGCCTCCAACCTTCGCTCTTGGCACTAACTTCTTGGGGTTATCGCACGAGGCTTATTATCGCGGATCAGCTGTCAGTATGTGGCTATCCTCCTGCACAGACTTTGATCGTACCAAACTTTGCTCTCGTTCGAAGTCAGTGGGCACACGAATTCGCGCAATTGGCCTCTCGCGTTTGGGTGAATCTGGTCCCGTATATACTGAGTAGCTTAGGATACGATGGAAGGACTCCACGGATATCGGCACTGCAGAATACCTTCGATGATAGCTTTGTACAGTACAGTATACGGTGCTTCCCAAGAATCTGCCCGAACTTACCCTTTGCTGTCTCTGGTCCCTCATAGGCTGATCTAGCGTTGGTTTCGACATACAGAAATTCATCCTTCCCTTCTGAACAAACGCTCGGTCTAGCAGCATCGCTTAATCTAGCCGGGTCTCTGGACTAATTTACGCTGCGTAGATAATCTCCTGTTCAACGACCACGCAAGTTTACGAGGAGGATTCTGACGGACTAGATCCTTCGCGAGGCTAAGGCAGGATCTATTGGGCATGGGAAAACAGAAATAAAAAAAGAAGGAAAAAAAGAAAACGAGATGCCTCGTTTGGATGCTCGGCCCAATAATGCCGTATTTGTTGCCATCCTCCGCGCCTAGTATCTTTGGACTGTTGAAGAAATTGCACTAAGAAGGCCGGCGCCTGCACAGGGTCAATCCACCGGTGATTCTAAGGGGGAGGAGGAGCATGGGTATCGATGCCTGGTCGTAGCCTTTCAGATGATTGGGAATTCATTAGTGTTCGGTTATCGTAATCCCGATCAAAAGGAGGGAAGGGGAGGGGAGGAAGCACGTGATGCGCATATCTGGATCCCATCATTACGACGGACAGCATGGTAAGGTGAAAGGTGAATTTTGTTAATCTATGCCCTGAAGGATTATTGAATTGGTATACTGATTTGCTTACTATTTCGCGGTACGAGATCCAGTATATCGGTTGCGTCTCACGTCCTACTTTCGCATTGGCAAAGAAAGCACACCCCTGCAGCCCTATGCCCTGCAGGACCGCAATTCGGACTGTAAGCGCTTGTGCATATCTGATCTTTCAGATAATCGCTGCACATTGAGGACACAGGTACCTCTTGATTGGCCGACCGTCTGTGCCTATCATCAACGCTAGGCTCGTCGTCGCAACGGCTTGCCCTCAATCGGTACTATCATAGGGGGTCAGTCTTATCCGCTACCAGGTCCGATTAGAGCATCAACATAACCATAGTTCCCTATGCCTTTCTCTTTTCTAGGACTGGACGGGCTCCATGTCCTGATTACTGGAGCCGCAGGTGACATTGGTCGACGAGCCGTGCAGGAATTTCTGAGTAAGTTAGAGAAACGTTTTGTTTACTGGACTTAGATTCAACTTTTATCCCCGGTGGCTCGTGACATAAGCTTAGGCTTGTGCATTTATAGTCTGATTGCCATGCATACATAAGCTGTCTGCAGATATGTACCGCATGGTAGTTCTCCTGCTATGGAATTGTGCTTACTAGACATATAGACCAAGGATGTAAAGTCACTGCACTAGATCTTAAGCCTCTAGAGCTTGCCCAGGCACCACCCGACGTCTACTCACGACTTCATATTCTCCGATGCGATGTTACGGACGAGGAGTCCATTTGCTCGAGCGTGTCGCAGGCCAGCAAGCGCTTCGGGCCGATCAACATCCTGATCGCTAACGCAGGCCTCACAGATGAGGGCAAGGATTACCCTATCTGGGAGCTTCCCTTGGAAGCCTGGGAGAGGACATACCGCGTCAATGTGCGCGGGACCTTTCTCTCAATCAAACATTTCCTTCGATCCGCACAGCTGTCGCAGCAGACGCTGGGCAAGGAATTGGACAACCTTGCCATTGTCGTGACAGGCAGTGAGACGGGCAGGTTTGGTCAAGAGGGACACGCCGAGTATGCCTCGGGCAAGGCGGGCTTGCAATATGCACTGGTACACGGCGTGAAGAATGAAATTGTTCGGCTTAATAGCCAGGCGAGAATCAATGCCGTTGCTCCAGGGTGGGTGGACATGCCCATGATTGAAGGTCGGCTGGATGATCCGAAAGAGGTGTGGGCTGAGGCTCGGGCAACGTGAGCCTAACCACTCCCTTTACGAGGAGCTCAATGAGGTCACTGACTTATGCGATAGTGTGCCATTGAGGAGGATTGCGAAACCTGAGGATGTGGCTCGTACCATGGCTTTTCTGGCCTCTCATCGTGCAGCTGGGCATATCTCAGGACAGTGCTTGAGTGTCGACAGTGACATGGAGGGGCGTCTGGTTTGGAAGGAAACCGATGAGCCGAAGAAGACGACGGCTGACATTAAGGAGCTTTCGATCGCCTCGTCCATCCCACCGGCCTTGACCAAGCCGAAGCGGAACAAGATTCGAATTGCCGTATCAATCGATTTGGATGCGGTCTCTGGATGGCTAGGAACGGGTTCGTGGCTTCTTACTCCAACACCTCCTAGGTTGTATTGCATGCTAATCTTTCCTCTTCGCACACTACAGGGCAACATCCAGATAACATTCTAGCCGATTACTCGGCCGGGTTCTTCGCAGCCCGAGTCGGTGTACCTCGACTTGTACGCATGCTCAAGAAGCTCAATCTTGCGGATCGCTGCACGTGGTTCATCCCCGGCCACTCCGCGGAGAGTTTCCCCGAAGAGGTCCGCCAGGTGGTCGAGTCGGGCTGCGAGATTGGTCTGCATGGCTACGCCCACGAGGGCGCCTACCAGCTCACCGTCGAACAAGAGCGAGACGTCCTTGTCAAATGCATCGAGATCGCCACCAAGCTCACCGGCAAGAAGCCCGTCGGGTATCGGGCTCCCCTGTACCAGCTGCGAGAGTCGACGATGGATCTTCTCGAGGAATTTGGTTTCGAATACGGTCTGTCGTCACCGATAAGATTTTTCCCTCTGCGTATATCTCTGAATGCTGACATAGTTGTTGAACACAAACAGATGCCTCCCTAACCGACCACGACTGCCATCCGTTCTTCGCCCCACGTCGTCCTCCCCTCGAGCCCATCAACTTCTCCCGCCCCGCATCAACCTGGATGCACCCAATCCCGCAGACCACCACGGACCGTCGGCCGCTCGTATGTGTCCCCTGCAACTGGTACATGGAGGACATGACTCCGATGCAGTTCCTGCCGCACGCGCCCAACTCGCACGGCTACACGGACGTGCGAGTGATCGAGAACCTGTGGAAGGACCGGTTCCTGTGGATCCGAGAAAACGAGGAGGAGCCCATCTTCCCGGTGCTGATGCATCCGGACACGAGCGGGATGGCGCATATCATTGGGATGTTGGAGCGGTTGCTGCGCTGGCTGCAGGGGTGGGGGGAGGAGGTGGAGTTCTGTCAGACGGGGGAGATTGCCCGGTGGTATCGGGACAAAAAAATGGAAGCATCCTTCTGAACGTACACTTGGCAGTGAGTATAGCACCTGGTGAAGCTAGAAATTGAAATTCAGGTATGTGCTGTATATGTCCAGTATTGTGAGCGAATTTCGGAAATACACACGCAGAAGCACATATTCGTCTTCCTGTCAAAACCAGGGATTAGTGAAAACCGACTCTCAACAGTATCAACGCTCAAGTAGGGTCTCCAGCGCTACCTATAGCTTAGTAGGGGGTAAGTTAGTTACCGCACCTGAGTCGTTATAGTTAATCCTCACCCCAGAAGGGCAACCCCGAATCTCTTTCTATCACGTGATCGCGCGTTTTGTCCCGGCGCGTCCCAATCCACGCCTGCATCAGTAACAGCGGCAAAACACCTCTCAACAGAACACCCCCCAGCAATCCCCCTCTCTGCTCCTCGGATTCAAGGGCGCTATGGTCTTTAAACCTTTCAAATCACCTTTAATCCGCAAGCCCGTTCCATCTTCTCCCGCGACGACCACCAATACCGCTCCCGATGCTCCCGCTACAGCTCCTGCTCCCACAGCCGACGCCTCGGAAACCACAGACCCCACGGGGGAGCCCCCGACGAAAAAACCGCGCCTCCATCTGGATCATACGGTAACGGGGATCGAGAATCGGACACTTCTCCCAGGTGTCTCGACAGGATCACAACCGAAGAAGCGAGGAACATTGTTGTGCTTGGCGCGGGAGCGGCCTACATCGTCTATAACTTCGTCCCCGCCGTCTCGGGTGTCGAAGAATGATACATCAAAGGCGAAGAGGGAGGGGGAAGAAGGCGCGCGGGCCGGCGCCGGGACGGGTAGTGAAGACAGAAAGGCGACAACGGGGCAGGTCCGAGAGAGGTATTTTACTGTTTTGTGGTGAGTTCTCATTCTCATGTTTACATTGTCTTCATGTCTCTATCCTGCTTATGGATTGTTATCTCCTTTAGACGCGGGAGTGATCAAACAGGACTAACTCTCTTTTTTTGTTTTGTGTGTGTGTGTGAACAGGCGCAAACCAACGACCAAGAAAAACAAAACTTGGGATGGCGATGGGATCATCAAGGTCCGGGATGGGTATGCATATATGTTTGATCATGCCTCCGGGAAGGATATGGGGCGCGGGGTGGTATCGCAGACCCGGTCGTTGGAGGCGGGCGTGATGTTATCGGTTGCGGGGAAGGAGGCCGAGATTGATTGTGAGGTCTCTAGGGGAGAGTATCTGACTGGAAGGGGTCTGTCAGGTGCTGAGGAGAAGGAAGCGGTTGTGAAGACTAATGCTGCTGTTACGAAAACTCCGGCTACAGCAGCGGCTGGGAAGGCTTCTGTGTCGGTTCGGAGCGCAGGCACCAACACCAAGCCGGAGATGGGCAAGGAGGATGAGTCTTCCAAACTGAGTCCCATCCGGATTGCGAACCCGGCGTCTAGGAAGGGTGGCATTTCTGGAGCCTATAAGAGACCACTGCTGGATTCTACGATGATACCACAGACTTCCGTTTCGACAGAGATGCCAGTTCCCCGGCATGACCCGACGCAGACGGGGGCGTTGGTCATGAAACGCCCGGATTCTGTGCCCAACGGCAAGAGAGTCGTTGATGTGGTCGTCGATCCGATCTTGGCGAAACATCTCCGGCCGCATCAACGCGAGGGAGTCCAGTTCCTTTACGAGTGTGTCATGGGGATGCGTTCGTTCAATGGCGAAGGCGCGATTCTGGCGGACGACATGGGCTTAGGCAAAACGCTGCAGACCATCACCCTCTTGTGGACGCTGCTGAAGCAGAACCCCGTCTATGGGGATTCCCCAGTCGTGAAGAAGGCGCTCATTGTCTGTCCGGTGACGCTGATCAGTAACTGGCGCAAGGAGTTTCGCAAGTGGCTCGGCATTGAACGCATCGGGGTCTTCGTTTTTGATGATAAGCGGAAGCGGCTGACAGATTTCACCAAGGGCAAGGCGTACAGTGTCATGATAGTGGGTTACGAGAAATTGAGGACGGTGCAGGAGGGACTGGCCAGAGGCAGTGGCGTCGATATCATCATTGCGGATGAAGGACATCGCCTGAAGACCCTCCAGAATAAGAGCGGACAGGCCATTCAGTCCTTGAATGCCACAAAGCGAGTCATCCTATCTGGAACCCCGATCCAAAATGATCTCAAGGAATTCTTCGCCGCCGTTGACCTCGTCAACCCGGGCGTCTTGGGCACTTTCAAAGCTTTCATCAAGGAGTTTGAAATCCCCATTGTCAAGAGCAGACAACCCGAAGCCACTGAGGAGGACATCGAGAAGGGCGAAGCCCGCAATGAGGAGCTTCGCGAGCTCACCTCCAAGTTCATGCTGCGCCGCACGGCCGAAATTCTGGCCAAATACCTTCCGCCCAAGTCCGAGTACGTCCTCTTTTGCAACCCAACGCGCACGCAAGCCAGCATCTACCAGAGCGTGCTGGCGTCGCCCATCTTTCAGAGCGTGATCGGCAATTCCGAGAGCGCGCTGCAGCTCATCACCATCCTCAAGAAGCTCTGCAACAGCCCGTCACTCCTCTCGCCTAGGGCTAACGAAGACAAGGAGAGCTCCCCTAATTCGACCATCGCCGCGCTGCTCTCCTCCCTCCCTCCCAATCTCCTCCGACACTTTTCCCCGTCATCGAGCGCCAAGATCCGCGTTCTCGATCAGCTCCTCCACCATCTCCGCACCTCGTCCCGCGCAGAAAAGATCGTCCTCGTCTCGAACTATACCTCAACCCTCAACCTCCTCGCCACCCTCCTATCGTCCCTCTCACTGCCCTTCCTCCGCCTCGACGGCTCTACCCCAGCCCAGAAACGTCACTCCCTCGTCGAGGACTTCAACCGTCTTCCCTCGGACCTCTGCTTCGCGTTTCTCCTGTCCGCCAAAGCCGGTGGCACGGGGCTGAACCTCATCGGCGCCAGCCGCCTGGTGCTCTTCGACGTCGACTGGAACCCGACCACCGACATCCAAGCAATGGCGCGTATCCACCGCGACGGACAGAAGCGGCCATGTCGGATCTACCGTATCTTGTTGAAGGGGAGTCTCGAGGAAAAGATCTGGCAACGGCAGGTGACGAAGTTGGGTCTGGCGGACAGCGTGATGACGACGACGGCATCGGATAGTGCCGGTGCTGCCTCATCGTCATCAATGGCACAGTTTTCGCGTGACGAGCTCCGGGATTTATTCCGACTAGATGAGGAGAGTCGATGTCAGACGCATATGTTGTTAGGATGTGAATGCGGAGGTACTGGTCAACAGCAACAAGAACAAGCATCTCCTGAGGCGGCGGATGATGATAAGGTGGGAGTAGAAGTGGAGGAGGGGGATACCGTCCCCCCGTCTGACGAGGAAGCAGAAGAAGATGCAGATGCCGAGGAATTCCCCGACATGCCTACCCTCATCAAGGCCTCGCAGCTCGACATGGAGAAACAGGAGCAGATAATTAGTACCTCAAACACGCGCAGGACTTCCTCTCGCCGGTCTTTCCGCCGTCCGGCCCCCTCCAACACGTCCCCACCTCCTCAACCTCCTTTTGAAAGAAAACCTACCTCCCAGAAACAGAGGATGAAGCAGTCCCTCGCGCAGTACCGCCACATCGACCCTTACCACCTCACCGCCCCGGCCGACGACGACGAGGCGAAATCCCTGGACGTCGTGGCGATGGAATCCGTCATTGACGACGATGTCCTTGTTGCAATGTTGCGTGATGAGGGGAATCGAGTGGGGTATATCTTCAAGAAGTCGAGCAGTAGCTCGGGGATCTAAAAAAGATAGGATATAGATCCCGTATACGGTCCTCAGCAGAGGGGCCCGTCTCGATCTAATCATCGATGGAAGCCCACGTTTTTGCCGTCTCTTCTTGGGGGTGTAATTTCGGATGTCATGATTATCGATATGATGCTATGAAAATGGTACGGGGGGTTTTGGAACGGGTACTGGGTGTATGTATTGTATGCATGCAGAGAACTGTCTTATATTTTAGAAGCTATAGATATCTCGATATCGTCTTTTTTGTTTCCTTACCCTGCTATTAATTCTATGATCCCATGCATATTTGGTCATGTGCGCAAGTGCAGGAGTAAGCGAGGGGAGAGATGCCGGTGCAGATCAACTTCCATGAGCCCGAGATTGACTGCTCCCAAGTCTAACAATTCTAGGATGGTGCATCTCTTGGATCTGAGTACAGAGATCATTTTATAATCATTGAGGTGTTCATAGTGAAGACTAGGAGCTATTTACGGACAGCTTCCAAAAAACGGGGGGCATAAGCAAATGGGTATGAGAATGGGGTATGCGCAGAAATTTGCAAAGCAGCGACACGAAGATGAGCCAGGACATGCAGCAATATATGGGAACACATAACAGAACGCTAGAATTCAGGGCATGTTGTTCGTAGACTGAGGGGGAGGGCTAGTTGGATAAATAGATGGATGGATGGATGGATGGAAAGATAGAAAGACAGAAAGATATCTGGCTTGAGGTAGTTCAATATGATGAGGAAAAGAAAAGAAAGAAAGAGGGGTAGGTGGTCTCGGACAGCGATGAATAAGGTCCATCTAATACTTAGACTTTCCAACAAGTCCAAATGTGTACGCGGCTTCCGCTTCGCTCTTCATCTGGATCATGTAGATCCGCGAAAATCCCACCATGACGCCGCCCTTTTTGGGCATGGCGCCGCCCTCGGTCTCTTCCCAGACGGAGACAGCAATGCCGGTCCGAGCGACCCGCTCGAAGCAGCTCTCACCCAGACAAACGTCCAAGAGCACCTCGCCGCGGGTCTTGCCTCGGATGAGGATGCGCTTCTCGGGTTCCGTCGCTCGACGGGGAGATGCGGCCCCGGAGAAAGGGGGACTACCGTCCGTGCCTTCCGAGAAAGTGTTCGAATCACTTCTGCCGATATCGCGAGGCTCCGGAGGCGCAGGCATGATGGTCAGTCTGGCAGCACCCATATCGCGCCATTTGGACTGCGTCTCACGCATGTAGAGCCGGATCTTGGCGTTGGACAGCCCGATTCCGTCCACGCCCTTGATGGCGGCGGCGATGCGGCCGATGCCCGATGAAGGGGATGCATTAGAGCCGAGCGAGTCAGAGTAGATGCTGTCTTCTTTCTGACCATTGCGAGATGTCAGAGATGAACGGGAGATGTTAAACATTTTGCTTCCAGCGCCAAAGCGCTTGAGGGCCGAAAAAGCACTGCTCACGGTTCCCACGCTGCTGTCGGAATTGTCGGCCTGCGATCGTGGAGAGGTGGTTGCACGATAACTCCTCCTGCGTCGAGGCCAACCGAAAAGTCCGCCGGTCCGACTGGGGGACTCTTCTGGAAGAGGTTGGTCGGCATACGGACCTCTAGCATTCTGCAAGGCAATGTAGGTGGGATTGTTGATGCGCGCGTGGTTGATTAGTCCATACAGAACCTCGCATTCATCCGCATTCCGTGAGCGGAACATGATGTTGTTACTCCAGTTTATCTTGGATCGTTTGGTGGGTGGAGAGCGGATGCTGATGTCAATCGCTGTACCACGTCGGATAGGAACAAGGGGGGTAAGCTCAAGCGCAATAAGCGGGCGGAGCTTTTTGAATGTGGCCTCATCTTCAATGCCCATGGGAGCGTCGCTCATATTGTACGCCTCGATGAGACCTGGGCTAACGATGACCTTGCACTCATCGGGGAATATACTTTCCCAGGAGCCCTTGTCGGACCAGGCGAAGACGGCAGCGATAGCAGCAGATGATTTGGCGGGCTGCGACGGAACAGACCTATACCCGCCCTCAGATGCTGCATTCGTCAATGACAGGGAACTGCTGGCAGAGGTCATGACGGAATCCTGCACATGGGACTTGGAAAGATGGCGGGCTGGCAAAGACGCAAGTTCATCTTCTGTGTCGTCGTCGGAGCTGTCCGTTGCCGAGTATTCTGACCCCGACTGCATGTCATAGCGCCGCACAGTTGACGTGTCAGAATCTGAGTAAGAATCTGAAGCAGTTGACGGCTCATATTCATGTTTCAAGGGCGATGATCCGCGGCGCTTGAGGCGTACATTGCTTGGGCTTAGCACTGGCACATCGGAAAGACTTGAACCAGTCGAGCTTGGTGAGCGAGAATGCGGTGGCGGTGCCGGAGGCTCCTCCTGGTCCGAGTCTGAATTCGCTCGAGAGTCACTCTTGTTTCTTGTCGGGGACTCAGCAAGATAGAGAGACTCAATCGCGGAGTATTCGTCATCTGACGTAGATGCTAAGGATTCGGAGATGTATGTCTGGCTACTGCCTCTTCTGAGCTTGGGGATTACAGGCAGGTCCATTGATGGCACGGAGGACAGCCTTCTATCCGGCATGGGCGGCCTTTGGGGGCGATCTTGTTCTTTGGGCTTCTTCTCTTCAAAGCGTTGTGCTTCTTCGACTTCTCGGGCCTTACCTTTGTCCTGAGCTGGTTCTATGGGAGTAGGTGGACTACTTTCACCGTAACGCGAGATTCTCTTAGCCTTAGAGCGTTTCAGTCCGTGGGGTCTGTCATCGCTGGTGAAACTCTTCCGCGGCTCCCTAGCATGAAGGATAGGTTGAGGCCGAGGCGAATCTCCCATAGCATAATCTGAGTCACGCGTGATTGCGGTATGCAAGGATGCATACGAGTCGTTCGCGCAAGAAGACACAACGGTACTCGGGTCAGAGAACTGATCTCGTGGGGTCAGAGATCGACGCTTGGCCCGGATGTCGGCCTTTTCTCCGATCGGTATATTGATATTCGTAGGACTTGGAGGAGCTCTCTGTGCCTGGGAAGCTTCAGTGGAGGATGAGATAGTTTGTGCTCGTTTCCGCTGCTTGGCTCGGTCAATAAAGCTCTGGGAACGACAGATGGCTGGTGGAACAGGGACTAGACCCAGCATCTGCACCCATTCATTTCCGATTTCCTCCTCATCAATCTGGAGAATGAGGAGCTCCTGCCATGGTTTCTCTTGCCCTGGAGCACTTCGCAACATGACGACAATCTCACCCTTTGTATCACCGTTCCGAGCAGAGACGCAGCCCAGCGCTATGGGCGGGAACAGTAGCCAGCGATCCGTATGATCAATCTCGCAAATTAGGAGATCACCTTCTCCTCTGTTTTGTGCGGTTGCATCTCTCAGGAGAAGTTCTGCACGGCAGTCGATCACTTGTCCACTGGAATGGTAAAGGGATAGGTTGAAGAAATCACGGGCACGAACCCGTCGAGACCTGTCCACAGTGACCTCAGTCAAAGTACCCAATGTTGCAGGATCGCGCGCGCGAGTTGCATCAATGCTAGCAGCCGATTCGTCTTCAAGCCTTGCTCTTTCCTCCCTCGCACGACGACGAGCTTCTGTCACCAGGGTCTGATAACCCGATGCAATTTCCTCTGCTTTGGGGGATGGTTGCAGCGCCTTAATCCCCTTGAATGTCTTTGCAAGGTATTTCAGGCGAACAAGTGGTCGTTTCAAAAGATAGGCAACATCGACTTTTTCGCCGTCACTGTCCACAACATCTCCGTTTTCGTCTCTTGCCATGCCTTCGTCCAGGCTCCTAGTGTCAGCGTTTTCGCCACCTTCTCCTTCCTCAAGGGGCGCAAGGTTCACTATAACGTCCTTGAATCCTAGTCTCCAGGCCTTGAGATACTCGCGATAGACCCTTTGCGCCCCTTGTGCCCAGTTGAGTAGTGCGTCGACGTTTTCTTCGGGAATCCGCTTGTGCAATGTCTTCAAACGCTCGATGGCGACTCCCATATCCACAATGGGCTTGCTGAAATTGGCCTCGTCTTTAGGGTCCGTTGAAGGGCGGAAGAGACCAGCTGCAATAGCAGAATCAGACCGTGAAAGCACGCAGGTCAGGAGGACAGGAATCACACCGCCGACTAAAGTCTTCAGCTCACGCATGTACTTCGCTTCGTCGGCAGACAACTCCTTGAGTATGTCTGGAATAGTCTCTGATACCACGCGATTCTTCGTCTTCAAGCTCCTCGCAGACCGGAGGCTCCGGCTCCTGCTATTAGGGGCGGATAAAACTGAGATAAGATCATCATGGGTAGTGAGTCGTCTTTTGAGCTGGGACGAAACTACAGGGAGTGAGTTTGGTTCGAATGAGTCCCGTTCCTCATCGTCTTCCTTTGCTTTGGCTGATGAATCATGTGCTTCGGCAGCCGATGACGCTGTTGGATTGCCACCTCTGCTCATTGACTCCACAGATGCGATGGTAGACAGAGGATGTGCTCCGGTGGCAGGGAATGGCTTTGTGCGCCCAAGAGGTACAGGCGCATTATTACCAGACACTTCCGAGCCCTCAGAGAGCGGCTGAGTTCCGGACTCAGACACATCATCCCTCATATCACGAGGGCGTTCTCTGATAGGAAGCTCTTTGCCTCTGGATGACTGTCGACTGCCTGTGCTTTCACCTTGTTTCTTCTTCGAAGAGGAACTACTATCTCTTCGTGATCCCGAGCTCACGACAGTTTCCTGCTTCGGCTTGGCCCGGTCGCTTGCCGGGGAACCCCCGTCTCTCTTGCTTCGCCGTGAAGCCGCATCTTTGCGGGGAGTGTCACTATCCACGGAATGCTCCACATCGCTAGTGTGCGTTTGTTCGGATTTTGCGTTCGATTTGTTGTTACCAGATCTCATCTTTAAAGGCGCTGGAATCTCCACGTCCGAGTCCATTCCTTCCTTAAAGGGGTCTGGGGTATTGGACAGCCAGGCTTGGATTTTCGCGCCCCGGACTGGTGCTGGTTTGGGTGGCTCAGCTTTGGAGAATATCTCTTTCGATGCATCGATCATATGCCCGAGTATTCCCCCTTTGGGTGGTTTTACAGCTGTACGGCCTTTGAGGGCATCGAGCCCAGGGCCTTTGGGGGGAGGACCCTTCGACGTTGGATTAGGACCTCGTGCGCGGCGTCTTGACAATTCAGAGAAGTCCGCCTCGCTCGTCGCCCATTCTGAGTCGTCATCTAACGGCGCATCCTTGTACTTCGAACTTTGAGGCTGCTCTGACTTCGCACGAGTATGGCCTTTCGCCGTTGATGGTCGCGATGTCGATTTCGAGGATCCATTGTACGAGGCAATTTCTTCCTCCGCCCGATTTTCTGGTATTGTGTCCACATCCCGCGATGCGCGGGACTTTCTCCGCTCCCTCGTCGCAAGATCCGTGGAGCGGTCGCGTTCACGACTTCGCGGAGGAGACGACACCCCATCCTCCTCGCCCTCGGCTTTATGCGGTGGCCTTAGTGCATCATTTGTTGTGTACTGGGAGATGCGCTTGGGGGCTGGGAGTTTCGAGGTCTTGGCCTGCGTGGACTTCCGATTTAGCTTCCAGTGCTCGTCACTGATGACTCGCTTTCGCGGAGTGCTTTGACTTCGCATCCTAGATACTACTGAACCATTGGAGTTGCCGAGGGGAGTATCAAGAGCCGGTTTGGATTTGGATTCGGCGGCGGAGTTATTCTCCTCCTCATCGTCGTAGTAGACACCGTCGTTGGCAGTTATAACCCCGCCTCCTTGCTGCTGCCATTTGCGCACCTTTTCTCGCACAGAGTTTGTGTCGTAAATTCCCAGGGGCCGGCCGATATCGAGGGGCTTTGTCTTCGTGGGGGACAATTTGGCGGCTCCCCCGCGATTGGAGGGGCGCTGCGGGTTGACAGGAGATGGCATGGAAGTCTACAAGCGCGGTCAAATGTCAGCATATCATGCATGTGGTAGCCTCCCCGTTGGAGTTGTGTACGGTGGTTGGTATCATTGAGTAGAAGGTGTGAAAACGTGGGCCACGGCAACCCGCCGACGTCACTTTAGTGCTTTGTTTATGAGGGGAAGGGGAAAGCTCACAAAGTGAAGATCAGCACAACAGCTAGCTCATGCATACCCTGGCGGACAACAACAGGGACTTGCAGGGAATAAATGGTTCGAGAAATTATGGGAGGGATCGTCGAAGGAAATTCGAATCGAAAGCAATAGAAGCGAACATTCCACCAGGGAAGACGAAAAAGCAGGCGAGCGCGAAAACAGGCGGTCAAAAGCAGATCGGGTCTCTGTTGCGGTCCTCCACCGGCCGGACAATAACCACGACGATACCAGCAATAAATGCAATAAATGGCTAACTTGAGTTTTTGGAGATAAGTCAGGATGGTCACAAGGCAATTGCCCGCTATGACTGCTCAATGAAAGATGACACCCATTCAGTGAAGGGCGACCGGACAAAGTGAGAGGAGGAGAATGAGAGGCGGGGGTAGGGAAAGCGGAGGGGAAAGAATTAGCCACTGGTGGAGTGAGTGTATTGTCAGTAGGTTGGTTGCCCTGTCTGTCCGGTCTGTGTAGTTAGTCTGTGTACTCCGTATACTCCGGGACTATCTTTTTGGCAACCGCTGGAAAACCGCAGGCTGCCCGGGAAACCGAAGCGCAAAACGAATAGCCAACCAACCTACTCAGATGATCCAGATCATTCAGATGACTTAACTTACCTAGTACCTATAGTTAGTCCCTTTCATCAGATCACACTGGCGCCCAATCCAAGCCAATCAGTCGCTGGAGCCAACCAACAAGAAGGCAATGCATGAATATAACCAACAAAGTTCTCGTCAGGCTGGATAAACGTGTGTTGTGCTGAAAGCTACTAGGTATCTAGTAGTAGGTACCCTACTATGCTTTTTGCGACCGGTGGTTCATTCGCCACCCATCAGGTACACACGCACGAGGACGGGACTGATCACCCTTTAATACCACGGACGGAATGATGAGTGAGGGTCTGGGTCTGGCTTACTCTCCTGCTGCAAGGTTGCGGTCATGGCTTGCTGCTGGCTGATGATATCTACAGTGGTTTTGTCCCACGCCTGGCCCCAGTCTTACCTTCTTCCCTCCCTCCCTCCCTCCCCTCCCGATCTCAGCGTCATGCACGGACGCCACGAAGTATATCCTACGAGCCTTCTCCCTTATGAAGAGTGCTCCCGACCGAACACATGAGGCAGTCTACTTACAAAAGTGATAGCCAGGATGGAGGGCCAAGCTCCTCCCCACACCCCCAACTAGGCAATAGGCTATATCTTTCTTGACCGCGAACAAGCAAGAATCAGGATGCCTGGGACGCTCCACTATGGGGTCTACGCGTCAGAGTGGGCCAAGCGGGATAAAATCACTGCATTCTGACTATTGATTGCTATTATTCTCTGCGTTGTCATGCAATTTGTGCTAATTTGTTTTCCCGGTCCTAACTGTGCTGTCAACCGTCACAACGACGTGGGCGAGATCGAGAGAGATCCGAGAGATCCCCTCAATCCGAGCAATGATGGCATGTCTGATTCCCGGCCGGAATGTTGATCCCACGCGGGAAAGGGCCTCGCTAAATTAATTCTTGATGTGTTTTGTTCTGCCCAGCCTAGAACCACCCGGGCAGCAATCGGGGCTAGCGAGGCTCGCGGTGTTTATTTTCCCCTCGTCGCAAAACTGCCCGAATCGTGATGACATCATCAGTCCCCCTAGAATCATCGCTCTTTGTGTCGCTGCGAACGTTCTTTCAAGGCGTCGAAGGCTGCTGATATCGCTCGTATGCTCTGATAGAGGTAATCTATCCCCTTGTCAGTGCCTATCTATCAGGCCAAAAGGACCCATCCACAAAGGCAACTTACAGAATGGAACCACGATCCAAATGAAGTTCATGAAAAAGTAATAGACCCAGAAATAGAAGGCTTCCGGACGACAATAGGCAATCCCATGCACGTAATGATCGAAGAGGCTCGTGGCATAGTAGAGACTGTCGCCATAGAGGTGGCTCATGCAGACAATGATCTGAAAGGGATGGCGCAAAGAGTGTTGAGTCGCGGTCAGATATGCGACTACAAAGCACAACGGGCCCCAGACCATCTATTATCCCGGTCAATGAATACACACCCAGCCACTATTCGGCGCAGGAGCAGGTTATCCTGATCTATCCTGATCAAGGATTGATGAAGAGGGACCTACCACGGTGATGGTCTCCATACAAAGAACAAGTGTGTCGGAAGTCATGTACCGCGAGTCCGATAAGGCATATTCTTTCCAGAGCTGCCCAAAGAAGTCTTGAGCGGATGCCATGTGGTCATGATGGACCATGAAGTAACCTTCGAAGAAGCAATGGATACATCCCGCTGGAGGTTTCGTTTACATGTTAGCGCACCGGAAGCTTTGATGATGATTCTACCTTGCGGGCGGCTGCTATAAAATCTGAGGCGAGTCTTACAGAGCGCAAACCACAGAATGGCAATTCGGTCTCGGGTTTGTATTTTCGGTCGTTTGAAGCCGGTCAGCGTCCAGGTAGCACCCAGCAAGGCTGTCACACCTAGGCTGGCAGTGGCCATGATAGTGAGCAACGGAGCCTCATTGGGCGCGTAGTCCTCAATGAGCGCGTCGATGGGATAGAACGGATGAGAGGGAGTCCGAAATTCCATCTTGATCAAATTTGCAAATTTGTGCAGTAGGTGCGAAAACCCTTGGGGAGGTTCTCTAGAATTGTAGGCACTAAAGAACTAAACAAATCCAATTGAATTGAGATGTTGCATTTCGGGCGGAAAATATATCTCAAATTTAATACTGGGGTCTCCTACAATTTCCTTTTCCACTATGCACCGATACACCGCCAACTTAGTACTCATATATGAGTGATTTTCTTTCTTCTTCTTCTTCTTCTTCTTCTTCCCCTCCCTAGCATCGATTCCTATCTGGCAATTTGATATCTGCCCTATTTCTGCACCTTCTGCTGAGTATTATTCTTTTATATTTGATCACTTTTAAGCCTCCATTGCGAGATCGACCATAATGTCTCCTAGTATGGTTAGACAGCCACGGGATTACCCGCTAGCCCACTCTGGCTAGAGCTCTGAACCTCAGGCCACAACTTCCACTGCAGCTCCGTACAGTACTTACTCCAGGTAGGTCTCCTACCAACTGCGACAAGCTGGCTACCTGCTCTTGTTCCTTTTGCCCCTCAATCGGCCACCTACCTCGGTCGCCCTCCTGGTTAACCACCCCATGGAGACTGTCACTCTCTTCTTTCCTTCTTCTTCTTCCCCTTGCCACATACAATTTCGCAATGGCTCCTGGTCCATTTAGAAGAAAGCCCTTGGGTCTCGATGTGCCCCGCACCGTTGCGGTCGAGTCGCCGCCTGGCATTGCGGCACTCTTCGTCATTCGTTTCGACATCAAGGCTGGGTGAGTGCCCGCCGGCTTCTGTGATGCATACTCACCTTGCAGTGAGCTTCTACTGACAGTTGATTTCTGATGGAGCTACGTGATATCCTGGAAACGAACAACCCCTGGGGGTGAGTGATAGCGAATAGCGACAGCATTTCCGAGGAGCGCCCGAGCTTACCCGATCGACCAGTTGATATTGAAGGGGCCGTGGAATATAAATCACTTCCCTCCGGCTTACACAATGTGTCAGAGGACTTGGTGTAAGTCAGCGATCATATCGATGATGTGTGTCGACCGCTTGCTTACGGACGCTCGCTCCTTCCAGGTACTTCATCCATGAGCAATATGCTGGCATCAGTGCTTTCGTCAATTGGCCTGCGGAGGAGGCAGAGCGCAACGCGAAGATGTTCGCCATTGGAGTGCTTGTGCCCTTGAGCTCAGGAAGGCTGGGCAAGAGCTGGAGACATGCGCCGAAGCTCAAGGAATTGGCACAGTGAGTGATCTTGACCCACTTGCGGGTGTCGCATTGTACTGTACCATGTACCTCTGACGTTTGCGATCGCTGTAGGAACTATGCCCAAGACATGTCCAATACCCAGCCACTTGCAGAGTACTGGGAAGATTTTCGGACGCGAGAAAGTGACTTGTCTGCCATGCCTCCCGATTCTCCTTTAGAATCTCCGCTCAGCTTCCGCCTGAGGGCCCACGGAGACCGAACTGACAGCATACATCGGGGTCGCGCATTTAGTGATGCCATCATGTTGGAAACGCCCAGGCCGGCCCTGACGCCCTTCCACCCAGCTTCTTCCCTTCCTAATTTTCTAGATTCATTTGGTCCCCTTATATTCCCCCTCTACAGAGCAGCCCTGCTGCGCAAGCGGGTTCTCTTCATGGCAGAGCCGCCAGTCCATATTCCTTGCAGTTATGGTATGCTCATTCGTTCTTCCACTCGCGTTGCTGCTAACAGCTGTCCCCAGTATATGATCTGTCTTTATTGGCCTCGTTGCCTAATTCTCTCCTTCCCCTGCTTCCTCAGAATGGGCTCCCTCCTCCCCGACCGCGTTCTCTATTCAACGTGGGCATACACGATATCCCTTACCTTTCTTCCTTCGTGGGCAATTCCCCGAATAACGACCGTGACTCAGCCTGGATCGCTTGCAGCACGGACAGCGTCTTGAGTGTGAAGCCCGAACTCTTCGATGTTCTAGTCACCTTACCGCCCCCGCATTCCAGGAACGCGGCGGAGAAGGTGTTCCCCACCGTATCTATCTTCCACACCCAGCCCGCCAAAGGTAAAACAACTCATTCAGTCGTTATAAAGGCGACTCAGCGGGATGCGCGACGTTATTATACTCTCCGCAAGGGGCTCCGCCACGTTTCCCAGAACGAGGATACCCGAACAGACACTGACGACGATTCCGATGCTGCATCCACCTACTCTTCCAGTCCCATAGTTGAGCCCCTCTCTTGGGCTCGTCTGGCATATACCTCCTTCATCTGGTGGGCGTCCGCGGGCGAAAAGCGCGATGGTCTATCCGAAGAAGAGGAAGAAGAGCATCAGATAGAGCAAGACACGCGCCTCCTCGCCAGCGTCGAGATTCTTCCCAGCCCTCCCTTAGGCTCTGTCGGCCGTCGAAGCATCCAGCCCCACGAGTCCGCGCAGCAGCCCGCGGAGATCGCTTTGGTCGCGTACTTCCGTCGCCTCACCACACAAATCTTCGTCACCTTGTCCGACGTGATCGCCCGCCACGACAGTCGCAACCTCCCGGACGACGAGGACAATGACGACCTCCTTCCCGACAACGATGAACAACCGTACGAAGACGACGAGCCGGAAAACGGCACCGACACCTCTCTTGCCATTGGCCGCCAATCCACCCAAGAAGACGACTTCCACAGACCACTCCTTGCGCGGCAATCCTCGGTGAGTGCCAGCGGTAGCACCCAGGAGGACACCAAGCCCGTCAAGATTACGTCCGAAGACCTGACCGAAATGGGCCTGGACGTGTGGAGCGCCGCCGACCGGGTCTTCGTCGAGGAGCTCGTCATGCTCTGGTGGGGTCGGAAGGCGTACGTCGAGAGCGCCCGGATCAGATGTTGTGGTATCTCCATCGTATAGGTTTGCTTGTACTGTATTTACTGCCGTGATACTCCTAGCCATCTTTTTCCTGCTTCCTGTCTGTTTCTTTTTTCCGTCGGATAGCTCTGATGAACGCAAAAGAAGACATAGTATTTATTCGTAGTAAACAACTGTGATAGAGTCATAGTTTCTCTCTCGTCAGGGTGTACGCGCGATTTTAACTCACAAAAGTTCTTTCCACTTGCGACTCAATCCCAGAAGCATCGACCGGACCAGTTGTATCTGTCTAACCTGCATGTTCCAAGTATAGACAGTACCCACATGGGATAACAGAAAGAGGAGTAACAGGAGATATATTCAAGAGTAGAAATGTTCACACGTAGACCGCATACCAGACAAAGGAAATGTTACAGACGAAGCTGAGAGAAGAGAGTGTGAGAGCATAGACACCTGAGTTCGTGTGCTGACTTTGGCGGAAAGGCAAAAAGTTGATTTCATGAGACTAGACAAAACAAATTTCACCGGGAATATTCATCAAGATCTTTTGAGACGTGCCATGATTGCCAAGAACGAACAAAACCACAAAAAGGACATAGAAAGCTCAATCTCTCCAAAAAACGCCATGCCACTCGGAGTACCGGGGTATCAAGAGAGAGGGTTGAGTCATTAAGCTAGAGTCTGAGGAAAATGTGTAGGGGAAGAGGTAGAAAGGATGAAATGCGTCTGAGCTCGCATGAATGAGATAATATAGTAGTTAGTGGTAGGACATGCGGATGGGAGCACTTATGTCGCGCCGATCCCGAATGGAGCCATCGCTTCTGGCTTCTGTGTGATGAAGACCAGGGATTCGCCGTGCGGATCGGACGGGAGTGACGCCCATCCCGCCGGAGCGCAGGGCACTTTCACCAGCACTGATGGAGCGCTTCATCGTGTTGGTCCTGCCTCTACGCGCTCGGATTTGTGCCAGGGCTTCTTCCCGGCTTATGGGAGTTCCTGGGACATCAGCAAAGCGATTGGACGATAACTGGTCGTCGTCTCGTAGAGGAATTTTCCTGAGGTCTTCGTGCACTTGAGAGTTTCTGGCATCGTGCATCACGGGCAACACAGGGTCCCACGGAACATCAACGACTACTGAGGACCGGTGAGTTCCAGGAGTAGAGGTTGGGACAAAGGCCTCACTTTCCATGATGGAATCATATGGCGTCTCATGCCTGTGGGTAGCATGCTTGCAGACAGGACTACCAGTCATCGCTGGATCTTCAGCTTCGCTCTCCACTTCTGCTAATGGTGAATTTAGCGCATTTTCGGGGAGCTGCTTCCGTGGAGATCCTCGGACAGGCGAAGGGATCGTGTGGAAAGTGCCTGTGGCAGGCGAAAAAGTGATAATAGGCTCCTCCGTAGGGTCATCGTCGTCATCTTCAGCATCCTCCACAGTCTCTTCCTCGAATTCCTGAGCCTCCTCTAAATCGTCATCTTCGTCAACTGTCTCTCCCACATTCTCTTGTGCAGCGAAACCAGCAGGCTCGCCGACGGGCGTGTGCGAGTCCACCTCGTCATTTTTCGGGATGCCGATGTGATCTCCATGCTGCTCAATTCCGTGTTCGTGCACCTTCTGTTCGACTGCCTCGACTGTTCCCGCTTCATGCACATGGTCGATTTCCTCTGACTCGGTCAACCGGCAAGAACAGCGCTTGAATTGACACTCGAGTTTGAGGAACTCAATCAAATCTTCTGCATCTGTTCTTAGCTGGCGCTCGCGCTTCAGAATTCGTTCGAGTTCTTCCACCTTATCATGCTTCGCTTCTGACACGGCATATTCCTGGGCTTCTTGTCGGGGAGTGATGTCTGATAGTCTCTGTCGCTTGGGAGGAGTTTGGTGTGCAGGCGACGGTTTTGTGGCATGGACCATGGGTGAGTTGACGGAATCTTCGGCCGATCGTTTGGGTCTCCGAGGCGTAGGGGTTAGCAGTAGGGCGAGATCGCCTTCCGCTAAAGACATTCGTCCGGCGCCCTCTTGGCTAAGCTTGAAGCTATGGGCTTTCAGGCTTCGCGACTTGATATTGGCCTCCGCAGCGCGTAGCTGCTCTTTGAGAACCTCCACCTCCTCTGTAAGCCCGGCGATGGCGTAAGCGCGCTCGAATGCCTCCTGTTTTGCCTGCTCTTTGGCTCGGCGCTCCGCCTGCACTTCATCTTTGAGGACTTTGGCCTCCGCCCTGGCATGTTTCAAGTCCTCCTGTACCTTGACAACCACCGAGCCAGCGCGAAAAGCCTCCTTTCTGGCTTTTCGAATCTCCTTTTCAAAAACTGTCCTCTCGTGAGCTTGGCGTTCCTTAGAGGTCTGAAGTTCTTCGAGCAATGATTCCAGGCGTTCACTGATGCGTCGTTCGCGGGACTGGGCTTCTGCAAGTTCTGAGTTGGCATGCGCCAGAGCAGACTCCGCCTCTTCCCGTCCTAAGATGGCGCGCTGCAAGGCTGCCGAGTTGCTAGCAGTCTGTTGCTGATGAGCGTGAGCGGGACTGTTGCCTCGAGAGGCGAGACCGTTGAGATAAGCGACCTTGGATTGAACATCGGAAAGACCCCTAGAGTGTGATCCTCGGAGGTTAAGGATGTTGGAAGTCAGTGAAGAGTTGGGGGTGAACTGTTGATTTATGCGTTCGGGCGATAGGGGGTTCAGGGCCTTCGTCGGGCTCGAAAACGGAGAGTCCATGACGAACAAGCCTGTGTGTTGTGATTAGGAAGGAGGGTAGTAGTCAGTAAAGTGAGAACAGGCAGTCAGTCTTCGATTCAGAACATGACAGTCATGCCCGAGAGAGAATGGGATGACACCACGGGGTCGACGGTCAGACAGACTGGATTTGAAAATGAACCCACTGATCTCCTCCTATCGGTGACGCACCCACTCTTTTCCCGCTTGTTTGTTGCCCGCCGCGTGATCACCTGACCGTTGCCCAGGACGACACACTTTAGCCGAGTTGGGCAAGCGGGGGCTTTAGTCTCAAAAAGGAAGGCTTCATTACCCGCGGCGCCGGCGCCGCGCCGCGCCGGTCTGTGCTGCGCATTGAAGCTGTGTGATGCGACGAGGTTAAAAGCCCCAGTCATTAGATTGGGTAAAGTCTAGGCTCGTTGTCACCTTCCGCCCTAATTTTGACAGTCGAAGGTTTCCAGTGAGCGTATGCTCCTGACGTATTCGGGGATCGGATCAATTTCCCCATTTACGTAGTGCGAATCGGATTGAATATGCATGAAATTATCACCCTGCAGCTCGGTCAACGAGCAAATTATCTGGCTACGCACTTCTGGAATCTTCAAGTATGCTTCGACTGTGCCTGATCGAACCCTACCTTATCCCTGAATCCAAGCTAAATTGCCGGCTAGGAATCTTACTTTACATACAATGAGGATGAAGAGTCCCCCGTAGATCATGATGTTCACTTTCGACCTGGTGTCGCAGCAGATGGTACAGAGACCTTCACTCCTCGAACTGTTATCTATGACTTGAAAGGGGGATTTGGCACTCTGCGCAAATACAATGCCCTCTACCAGCTGTCAGAGGATGCGAATCCCGGTCAAGGACTGTGGTAAGTGGTCACCATCGCCGGAAAATCCGTTTCGAGGTTTTTAACGCTGTGATGGTGCAGGGACGGAAAAGAGGTCCTACAGCAACAGACCCCCATCCTTCAGAGTGATTACCAGAAGAACCTGGATGCAGGGCTCCCCGCTTGCCCTCTATCTTCTGAGACAGTTCGATACTGGTCAGACTATAATCGTCTCTTCTACCACCCGCGATCAATTGTTCAGCTGAATGAGTACGAGCTGAACTCCAAGATCATGCCATTTGAGGACTGGGGTGTAGGGGAGGAACTCTTTAACGATCTCGACAAGGAGCATGATTTGTTAGATCGGGACCTGAGGCCCTTTGCCGAAGAGTGCGACCAAATGCGCGCAATCCAGCTTTTCACAGGCTCAGATGATGCATGGGGTGGCTTCGCTGCCCAGTATGTCGACAGAATTCGGGATGAGTATGGTAAGAAGGCAGTCTGGGTGTGGGCTGTAGAGAATGGCCGCAAGGTTGACCGGGTGAGTCTTATTGCCTCCTGCTAACTGGCCTGCACCATCCTCGCTGACTCCGGCAGCAAACCCAATACAAGCGTGATCTGAATAAGTCCCGGTCCATCTACGCTATTTCTTCTCAAGCTTCTCTATATACGCCTATCGTCGACCCGCCTAGCCGGCTACCGTCAACGATTCATATCGACCCTCACTCCGAGTGGTACACTTCAGCACTAATCAGTTCCGCTTTGGAAACTGTGACACTTCCCACCCGTCTTCGCCCGTATCACGACTTTGAGGCCTCATTGGCAGGGGACGATGGCGTCCACAAGATATTCGAGCTTCAGTCTACGATTGTGCCAGATGACGAGGTTGCCGAGCACTCCACGCAAGGTCCTAAGACTCACGCCGATCAAGTAGAGAACACGGAAGGCCCAAAGCCCCAGACCACATTCGAATTGGACTTCACATACAACGGCCTGGACAGCAACACAGCTCATATCTTCAATCAACTTCAAGTGTCGCGTGGCATAACCACCGAGCGGAAAGGCCAGTCCGCTACAGAGGACCTGGGTACCTTGCGCAGGCAACGACTCTACAATTCCGAGCCCATGTTCCAGAGGTGAGGACAAGGAGCTCATAACCTGTTTAGGGCTCCAAATACTGATCATATCGATAGATTTCATGCGCCGCTGGCGTTCCCCATCCTGGATAGCTTCCCTCACAACATGTTCACTCTTCCCCAGGCAAAGGAAAAGGTCCAAGTGCTTGCAGCGTTGACAGCTTCCTCCCGGACGGCCGAGAAGCTTAAGAAGCTAGAGACGCTCGCCGGGCGAGTCGCACAAGTGGATGAGAGGGAGGCACTAGTCAACGGGTTGGGCGAGATTAGAGAGTCGTATGAGACTGGTTGGATGAGCGACTCCGACTTTGATGACGATTAGACGTATGGAGCAGAAAGTACGAGACATGAAAAACATATCTCCATGTGTTCATAAAACTCCGTACTGCATGGTGCATGGCATCCGATCTACTAGTATGTACAGAGTACCTAGTAGTATTACCGTGGACCCGTAGATAGACCCTGGAATTGGTGTGGATCCGCAGTGCAAACAAAGCGGGCGGTGTGATGTGTTTGCATCATTCGGTCGGCCAAACGTGGCCTCTCCAATCAATTCATCGAACATTCGACTGGCATCTTTCTTTTACTACTCTGTCCTTGTTCACCATATTCTTACTGCCAGGTGGCCAGTATACTAGAGCTTCGTTGTCGTCTAGATGGCTCTGCGGAGATAAAAAGTGTCTTAGGTACCTCTCTTCTCCCTCTCTTTTCATAGGTTGCTTTCGCCTTTCGCTAACCTCATCTGCCGTCATAGTTCACTACCACTAACTTGCTAATTTCATGTTACTGTACCGATAGTTAGACTGTCACTCGCCTGCGACGACCATATCAACCAGATTGCATCTGGGTACAGAGCTAGAGCTCAATAGATGTCAAGCGTTGTATTAAAGCGTCTCTCGGAGGTATGCGACCCTAAAGCGCAATCTGCTGATTGAGACGGGTGCTGACCTGCTTTCTTAGTAAACGCATAGACCATGGCTTCCAGAAGCCGTCAACGCACATATGGCTCCCGGAAGTCTCTTACATCCTCTCCCGTCCTATCCTTCTTGATCGTTCCTTTTCTACTGCTCTTTTTGAGCTTCCCTGCCCCCGCTGCTGCTGCGGGATCCGCCGTTCTCGGTCTTGATGTCGGCACAGAATATTTCAAAGCCGCCCTGGTCAAACCGGGAATTCCTCTAGAAATTGTTCTCACCAAGGATTCCAAGCGCAAGGAATCAGCCGCCGTTGCGTTCAAACCTACCCGCGAAAGCGATGCCCTGTTTCCTGAGAGATTCTACGGCGGCGATGCCCTGGCCTTAGCCGCCCGGTATCCCGACGATGTATACGCCAATCTCAAGACCCTGCTCGGACTCCCCTTCGATATCGATGACGAAACGATCAAGACATATCACAACCGGTACCCTGCGTTGCGACTTGAAAAGGCCCCTGGCGATCGTGACACTGTTGGACTTCGGAGCAACCGACTTGGCGAGGCAGAGAAGAAGGACGCTTTTCTCGTCGAGGAAGTTCTTGCCATGCAGTTGAAGCAAATTAAGGCCAATGCCGATACCCTGGCTGGAAAAGGATCCAACATTCAGGATGCGGTGATCACCTACCCCTCCTTCTATACCGCGGCGGAGAAGAGAAGTCTCCGCTTGGCGGCGGAGTTGGCAGGTTTGAATGTCGAAGCGTTCATTAGTGACGGCCTTGCTGTCGCTTTGAACTACGCAACCAGCCGCACTTTCCCCAGCGTGTCGGACGGAGAGAAGCCCGAGTATCACATTATCTATGACATGGGCGCTGGCTCTACCACGGCCAGTGTCGTTCGCTTCCAGAGCCGCGCGGTCAAGGACATCGGTCGTTTCAACAAGACCGTCCAGGAAGTTCACGTCCTGGGTACCAGCTGGGACAAGACACTTGGCGGAGACTCTCTCAACGACCTGATTGTCGAGGATATGGTCGCCGATCTGGTTGAGGAGAAGAAGCTGAAAGGCCGCGTCACACCGGCTGATATCAAGGCTCACGGCAAGACTATGGCGAGACTCTGGAAGGATGCTGAGAAGGTTCGTCAGGTTCTCAGTGCCAACACTGAGACTGGGGCTTCGTTTGAGAGCCTGTACGAGGAAGAGGTTAACTTCAAGTATCGCCTCACCCGGTCTAGATTTGAGGAGCTTGCCGCGCATCACATTGCCCGTGTTGGAAAACCTCTCGAGCAGGCTTTGGAGCTTGCCGGTTTGCAGATGACTGACATCGAATCTGTCATTCTTCACGGGGGTTCAATTCGCACGCCATTTGTGCAGAAGGAGCTTGAGAGTGTCTGTGGATCAGCTAGCAAGATTCGCACCAGCGTCAATGCTGATGAAGCCGCCGTGTTCGGAGCTGCATTCAAGGGGGCAGCTCTCAGTCCAAGCTTCCGTGTCAAGGATATCCGTGCTAACGATGCCGCGGCTTACAGTGTTGTTTTGAAGTGGACTTCCGAATCCAAGGAGAGACAACAGAAGCTTTTCACACCCACCTCTCAAATTGGACCCGAGAAGCAGGTCACCGTAAAGAACCTGGATGATTTTGATTTCAGCTTTTACCAGCAAGTTCCCCTCGCCAAGAGCGTTGCTGAGACTCCTGTTCTAGGCGTGAAGACGCAGAACCTCACTGCTTCTGTTTCTAAGTTGAAGGAAGACTTTGGCTGCTCGGCTGCCAACATCACCACCAAGTTCGCCATCCGCCTCAGCCCTGTTGACGGGCTTCCCGAAGTTGTGGGTGGATCCGTCAGCTGCGAAGTTGAAGGAGCCAAGAAGGGAAGTGTCGTTGAGGATGTCAAGGGATTTTTCGGTTTAGGCAAGAAGGATGAACAGGCTCCTCTGGGTGAAGAGGGTGAAGCCAGCGAGTCCATTACACTGGAACCAGAGGAACAAGCTTCGACCACCTCTTCGGACGCATCCACTTCCACCACGACTGCCAAGGAAACGAAGAAGAGCTCTCCTCAGACCAAGCTCGAGACTATCCCTGTCAGCTTCGCCACCACTCCTCTGGGGCTTCCAGCACCGTCTACCGCTGAGCTTGCGCGTATCAAGGCCCGTTTGGCCGCATTCGACGCTTCGGATCGCGAGCGCTTCCTCCGTGAAGAGGCC